TTTAAAAAATTATATGTATAAAATTTAAAAAAATTAAATTATAAATATTAAAAACATAAATATAAGACTAAAAATATTTTTATTAAATTATTAATATTAAGAGATAAAATAAATAATTAATAAAATATTTTTATCTAATTTATAAGAAAGAAATTTGTCACATCACATTACTATCACAATTTTCAAGAATCTTTATCACTTTGCATTAAATAGGAGAAAAAGAAATTAAATTATTCTTTTTCACCTATTTCACTCTCTCGAGTATGATTGTGAAATCATACTCGCGCATCAGACGGTTCCCACCGATTTCTTTCCATTTCATTTCCTTTTCTTTGGTAACATCTCTCCAAAACAAACCAGCTTTAGAGCTGGTATTGGAATCAAACGGCTCAGATTTCTTCATTTCCTTCTCTTCCAACCGTTTGATGCTGGGACCCACTTTGGGTGGAACAGTAAAAAACCTCACACAGAGAGTGCGCGAGTGTGGGAAGTTTTTCCATGCCAATGTTGTGCATTGTCCCTGAATTTGTACCTTATTCAGGGATGTAACCCAGTCTGAGTCAGTTTCAAAACCCTCTTCTCTCTTTCGCTTTCTCTTTCACTCGTCACTCCATGGTGAGAATCTTTCTTTCCCCTCGCAAGATTCTCGTGCGCAGGCTTCTGGACCTTTTCTTTTATTTTTCCTTTTTGTGATCATAAGCGGTTGAATTTGTGTTGACCTTGTGTTTTTTTTGCTTGTTTTGTGCAGAGGTGAAGCTGTGGAAGTGCGATTTTGATTTACTGGTGAGTTTACGCTTCTAAATTTTCTGACCGGTAGGGAATTGTGCTTGTGGTTGTGAGTTTCTGTGTTGTTTGAAATTGTATCAATTGGAGAATGATGATTAACTAATTTTTTTTTTCTTCTAGGGTTTCTGTTTTTGGTTTGCTTAGTTTAGAAAAATAATTATTTCATGTGGGCGTTTCATGAGAGTTTTACAAATTGCATGTGTGTTTGTTTTGCAAGGGAAAATGGATGAATTTTATTTTCGCTGTGTTTTTTAGGGTAAAACTTGAGATGACTGTGTTCTTCTACTAGAATTGGATATTCATCGTGCTTAGCTTTGATATTTAATGGAATCTTAAGTCTGAGTGCGTGTTTACTTTAGCTTTTGGATGTGAAAATTCACGTTTATGAGAAGCAAAAAATTGTAGCTTTCACACGTAAATTGTCTTGTAAACGTGGAGAGAGAATGAAAAATTACGTTTCTGAATCTAAACCAAACACGCTATCAAATTATTGAGTTGGAAGTCCAATTCTGATTAGAAAAACTGCACCAATAGTACCATATGTACATTATTTAAGTTTTGTCCTTTTGTTTTTTATGGTACCATTGCATGTGTTAATTGTTATGTGGTTCATAATTGTTGTCTTTGAAATTTTTAGAGAGTAATCAATGCCTGTTGGTCGAAGATGGAAAAAAATAAATAGAATCCGAGGTTGAGGTTTTGTGTGTTTATCAGCTTTAGGCAGGATGGTTTTGGGCTCAATCAGCTATTGTTTTTCATTTTTGTAGCATTTTTGTTCATATATATATGCGGCATGGTCCTGTTTCCAAATGCTTGAATCTGTTACCAGCACCTCGAATTTGTTGCTTTTATTGTTGTGGTCAAAGTTACGCCTTACTTCTATCGCCAAAAAGCATTCCCGTAAGTAAATTGGCAAGCTGCTAGGCAACCACCTAATGCTAGATTGGACCATTGCCCAGCAACCCATTGTCCAGAGTACTGTGATGAGAGGCATTTTCCTTCACATGTGGATAATGTTTTATGTCGACAGGTGTGTTGCACAGGAGTACATTATAGCCACATGATGATCTCTGTTAGTCAAGTGGATGTTTGTTGCCTTTTTTTTGGGGGGTGGGGGTGGGGGTGGGTGTTGCATGTCATAGACAGGGTTGCCAATAGCTGCTCATTGGCTAATGTTGTGGCTTGACCAAGGTTGTCTTATCCAAAATGCTCACAATGGAGTGTTTTTGTGTAGCACATGCAGATCTTCGATATGCCTCAAAATCCCCAAACATCTCTGAACTTAAATGCCCCTAAATCCCTTTGAGTCTTGGTTGTCTCAGACTGAGTCAATTGGAGCTTTGTGATGTTGTCAATTCTCTCTCTTGTTGCTGGAAGCAACACATGGCATGGTTATCTGTTCTCTCTCATCACAATAAGCAATGATTCTATTTTTTCCCCCTGTTTTTTGTGTGCAACTCATTATATTTCTATATCATTCTGTTTCATGGAGGTGTTTCTAGTGGATGGACTTTGAACTAGACTATAATACATCAACAACAAAAATCTTACCCTTCTAGGTGAGATCAGCTACATGGAATCACATGATACCATTGAGCTTAGTTAAAGATTTCCCTTGGATACTACTGTATTCATCACGAGATCCCTCTTAACCACTTACTCTATGGTTCTTTTTGGTTTCCCTTTCCCCTTTTTTTTTTGCAGGACTAAAAACCATAAACTAGATTGTAATAGATGGGTAAAACTGAAGAGGTAATATTAAAATCTGTCAGAAAATTAGATAACTCTTATTCACCCATGACTTATGTAATGGATGGATATCCAAATCTTATCAATGACCCACCTGATAATCAAATCAACAGATGAAATGAACTCCTAAAATTCATTCGTTGTTAAATTTTATTATTATTTTACACTATTTTCTCATGACTTGATTTTTTTTTAATTCTATTTGAGTAATTTTTTTTATCATGTATTATTATTATTATTATTATTATCATTATCATTATCATTAATAATACTAGAGTTAAGTGAGAGTGGTATTTTGCTGATGTAAATATTTGTTTGAAGAACTTTTTGCCAATTTCTTTTTTTGTTTGTGTTGTTCCTTTTTGCCTTTTTCATTGTCAAAATTTTGTGGAGAAGAAATAATGTTATCACCACAGCTAATGTTACAGAAAGCTTGATGTAGCCAAGGATAGAACAGTGGTGGCAAGATAGCATGATGAAGAGATAACTGGAAGGAGCTCTTGCTCTGAAGAGCAGGATTTTGTTTTTGTGTAATTGAATAATATTCAATTGGTCAATGCAGGGGATGGTTGGACCTATGGATAATCCAATGCCTATAAATCATCCATTAAGCAAAACTGGTCCAATAAATCCTGTCCATTAATTCTAGAGTAAATTACCCTACACTCGCTTCAGTGCTGCTTAAATTAGACTCCCCTCCCTTCTTATTTTAGAACATTTGCTCCCTTCTTTGGAGGGCTGAGTTACACTTTAGTCATTTATGGTATAAATGAATCACTTAAGTCTTAACATTGGTGAATAATATGTTGTCTTTTTTAACAACTATTGGTGTCATTGGTAACTAATCCTGATCATCCAATTACTGATTTTAGTATTTTAGATTATATAAAGAAGTTTTAAATGCCTTCAATAATAATAATCGTAATAATAATACTATTATTATTATATTTAAGAGCATCTAAAATCTTTATCCGATCCACTAAGGTTACAATGTTAATAAATGTTCAAAACTAACTTTTAATCATGTTCACAATTAAATGCTCTTAACCCAAAATTTTAACGCCTTATGAAACTATTTAAAATATTACAAATTGGGGTAATTATTGATGCATGCATAACTTTGTGGATCTTATCTGTCAAAATTTGTGCATTGTGAAGTTTTAGGTTATAAATAATTGTCCATGTATTTTGGCACTGGCTAGTGGTATCACCTATTAGAATTGGCTGTTTGGAGTTTTTGGTGAATTCTGGGTTTGCTCCCACCGTTTCAAGTAGTTTAGATTGATTAGTAACAGGCTTTTGGTACGGCTTAGAAATTGAAAACTTTATGGTGGCATGCTGAAGATTTCTGTTTGAAGATTGAACACTGGTCGAGTCCTGTTAAAATGTTTTCACTGAATTGATTTCGTGAAGCCTTTTGAATAGCTTGGTTTGACTGCTATTGCTAAATGTAATTAGTTTTGTGTGTTTCTAATTCTCTTGCTTCTGTGCTTGGGCAGCCAAAATATCTGTAGTCTGTGAAGCTGAGAGATTGAAGATGGTATGTTTTATTTGTCAATTTTCAAATCCTATCCACACATTAGCATATTTTAGTTCTGTGTCCTTGTTCACAACTACACCTTTAGTTTTCTTTATGAGAATATATGGTTCTTAAATTATTTTCTTCTTTCTCACTTTTTATTGTTTCATGTTTTCCTTTTTCAACTTAGCTTTTGCTTCTCTTTTTAAACAATTATTGCAGGGAGGAGATGATTCTGGTGTGGAGAGTGACAATTTTGATTGGAACACTGAAGATGAGCTTGAAATTGAGAACTATCAGTCTTCATCTTCATGTTTAACTGTTCCTAATGGTGATGCTGTTACTGGGTCTGGAGAGGTAAGCCTTATGTTTGCTTGAGATCATCTTTTTGAATGAGTGGTTGAATATTAAGAATTTAGAGGATATAATTCCTGAATGTGAAAGATAATGCAAATACATTGTTTTTATCAATTAAAATTTTATTTGGGCTTATTCTCATTCCAAATGTTGGTGTAAGTGTAACTTGATAACCAACTAATCATGATAAACTAACCTAGCAGGTCAATGAAGAAAAAAGACCTTGAGAATTGAAACCATAACATATACTTTTCATGTATTGTGTCTATTTTACTGTTTGGATTTTTGTGGAATCCATACATTAGTTTTTCACAATAGAACATTATGTCTTTTGATCTTTTGAAATTACCTCACCCCGTTGGAAAAGGTCTCGTCATTGTTGTGTTTATTATCTCATTGTAACTAGTTCTTAATGAATCAACTCTTCTTTTCTATTGCTATGATCTGCACTTGTTCACTGATTTTGCATCCTCTTCTGTATTTGGGTAACCTTAATATATCTGATTCTATATTCTAAGACCACTGTGGAGTGTGGAATATTATAATCAGAAGTTTTATAACTTTATACTCAAATGCTTACAAGCTGTTGCCTTTCTTTTGATACTGTCACTTCCTCTATTTTATTGCACACAAAAAAGGATGTAATATTATTTTCATTATTTCTTTTGTACAGGACCTCTGTCTACTATTAAAGGCTTTTTTTTTTAATTTTTATTTTCTTTGATGGTTTTTCCAATTACCCTATCTACAAAGCATTTTAAACCAATGCAAAAATACATTCTTGAGAAATGAGCATGTAGAAATAACACTCTACAAAGGAAATAGAGATTTTTCAGCTACTAATGTCCTATTCTCTCCCACTTAAGGCAAGTTCATCTGCAGTTTTGGCTAATTCCAAAGCACTTGACCACTTTGTCGGCATGGGATTTTCTAGAGAAATGGTTTCTAAAGTAATTCAGGAATATGGTAAAAGCATTGCTTTACTCTATTTAAATATAGATTTGATTCGTTAAGTTCACAAATAATATTGCTCTGATGAACATCTAGGTGAGGAAAATGAAGCTAAACTACTTGAAGAACTTCTCACATACAAGGTGAGTTTATATTTTCTTATGTCTTGAGCATTGTGACCTTGTCTCTTTGATCTATTATTGAATTATAACCAATTTCTTTCATGTAGTTGTCTCACCTCATTTCCTAATTTAATACAGTTCTGTTTCCATGTTGTGGACTTGTTAGCATCTTAAAATCTATATAATGAATTTTGAATCATTGCTGGTTTCCATTGGTAGCTGTTAATTTTTTGGGCCATCCTGCGAAATCTGGACAGGGTGAGCCTTGTAGCAACAGTAAGGTTGCTTTTCTTGTGACTTGGAGGTCACAAGTTCAACTTTTGGAAACAGTCTATCTGTGTGCGAGAGTGAGGTTGCAGACATCTACACATAGTAGTCAATATTGAGCTACAACACAGTAGTTGAATGGAGTGGCCATGGGCTGCTATGGGATTCAAATAGTGGAGTGGTTTTCAATAGTGTTAAAAATAGTGGCTTTTCATGTGCTATTATGCTATAGCAGTGTTACCCATAGTAGTCAATAGCGGCCGGAGCGGCCGCTATCGCGGCGCTCCGTAGCGGAGCGGCCTCACCCCGCAATGTGGCTGCTGTCGCGTGGCGGTTTTCTGTAGCGGCTGGAGCGGCCGCGTCGGAGGCGGAGCGGAGCGGCCC